TTGTGTGTGTGTGTGAGGAAGATCAGCCCTGTGCTAACATCTGCCAATCCTCCTCTTTTTTTGCTGAGGAAGACTGGCCCTGGGCTAACATCCGTGCCCATCTTCCTCTACTTTATAATTTTATTTATTTATTTATTTATTTTTTCCCCCAAAGCCCCAGTAGATAGTTGTATGTCATAGAGGCAGATCCTTCTAGTTGCTGTATGTGGGACGCGGCCTCAGCATGGCCGGACAAGCGGTGCGTCGGTGCGTGCCCGGGATCTGAACCCGGGCCGCCAGCAGCGGAGCATGCGCACTTAACTGCTAAGCCACAGGGCTGGCCCCAGAAAATAAATTCTAGATGGACTGAAATTGTTGGAGGGTGCCGGCCCGGTGGCGCAAGGGGTAAGTGCGCGTGCTCCACTGCGGCAGCCTGGGGCTCGCAGGTTCGGATCCCGGGCGCGCACCGACGCACCACTTGGCAAGCCATGCTGTGGCGGCGTCCCATATAAAGTAGAGGAAGATGGGCACGGATGTTAGCCCAGGGCCAGTCTTCCTCAGCAAAAAAAGAGGAGGATTGGCAGATGTTAGCACAGGGCTGATCTTCCTCACACAGACACACACAAAAGTGTTGAAGTATAAGAAACATCATAGGTAAGTGTTCAACATGGATATGTTCTTTCTAAGGATGATATCAAAGTCAGAAATCACAAAGTAAAAGAATATTAGCTATGATTTCATAAATATTATAAAGTTTTGTATGAGAATTTAAAAGAATCCATATACAAAAATCAAAAAAGAGGTAAGGGTTAATGTATATTGGGTGCTAACGTTAATATAATTTCATTTTACTCACAAGCTGATGAAGCCTGTGAACAAGAGTTACATATCTTAATCTATAAAAATATATTGGGGAAAAAGTATAGAAGGATATACCCCCATGTGGGTTATATCTGGGTGGTGAATATATAAGTTATGTTTTTTTCTTTATGTTTTCCTGTACTTTTAAATTTCACTCTTGCAATGATCGTACATTCCTTCCTTATATAATCAGCAAAAATAATACAGCTATTAAATTTGCTTACTGGTCCCATATGTGAGCATTTCTCGGAAATTCTTACATCACAAAGTTAAGATACTGAACATAGCTAAGGATCTTGTAAAAAGAGATCTGAGTTGAATTTGGCCAGGACTTCAAAGTATCCGGAAGGTTCCTAATCACTGGGGTGTAACAGCTAACATTTCAACATTTCATACTTTGGTCCTTCATTCCATTATAGCATTTGCTTATCACCCATTTATAAAGTAACAGCATTCTATTTTGTGGAGTTACTATATAGCCGTAAATATTGCAATTAGCAAGTATATTAATCAAATATATAAGTATCAAGACTATTGTCTTGCATTCTATTTATTTGCTTTGACAAGAGACCAATGAATCTGTTTAAATAATTCATATCTCATTGCATGAGAATGTGTCCATAGACTATTTGATAATGAGAATTATATCTTAAATATGAAATCTAATTCTAATGCTTTTCCATTTAACTTTGCACTGAGAATAGTATTTTTTTTTCTTAGAGAGCATTTGGGATTTTGCAAATTGGTGAAATAAATATTAATTACTGACATATTTCTTAATATTTTCTACTTCAAGGAACTACCAATAATCGCTGTGGCATGTCTCCACACCATCTAAATTTTCTGGAGTCCATGAAAATATACATAGAGTAAAAGAGACAGTGATGATAGTAATTGGCATCTCTCGAGACAAATTATTCAAAAGAAAACATTTCACTTGAAGAAAACAGTTTCCTGGAGAAAGTATGGTTATGGAGGCAGATGGCCCAGGGGTTTAACTGGGCCCCCCGACTTATAGTCTCTACGTTCTTGGGTCAATTACTTTGCCTCACGAGATTGTTTCCTCGCCTGTAAGACAGGGAGAGTAATATCTACTTTGTGGTCATTATTGAGGGGATGTACTTAAAGTTTTTTTAGTTAGTGCCACGGAGTTGATTCCGACTCCTAGGGACCCTGTGGACAGCAGAGCAGAACCCTGCCCAGTCTGTCTGCGCCATCCTCTCACCTTCCAGCACTATTTGAAACAATGCTCCACTGCTATTCATAGGGTTTTCATTGCCAATTTTTTCAGAAGGGGGTGGCCAGATCTTTCTTCCTACTCTGTCTTAGTCTGGAAGCTCCGCTGAAACCTGTCCACCGTGGGTGACCCTGCTGGTATTAGAAATACCGGTGGCATAGCTTTCAGCATCACAGCAGCACACAGCCGCCACAGTATGACAAGCGACAGATGGGTGGTATGGTTCCCTGACCGGGAAACAAACCCAGGCCATGGCTGTGAGAGCGCCAAATCTTAACCACCAGAGCACATATTAGAAACTCAAAAAAATGATGATTATTATCGAGGGTGGACAGGGCTGCCATGCTGCCAGGTGGAAGCTGGCTGAGTCTCCACCAAAAGGCTCCCAGAAGAACTATAACCTCAATGAGTTTACTACCATCCAGGGGTGAGGCTGCCAAGCTCGAAACTGAATGATCACAGGGAAGATGACTCACTCTATTCAAGTTCAGTCAACAGTGAACTGAGGTAAAGTAGAACATTTTCCTCTCTGGTGCCTGAAGTGATCCTATCTCTCAGTCGGGCACCACCTTCCTTAGTGTAAAATAACTCAATTCTTTTGAGGAGGTTGGACTCAGAACAAAGAGAAGCAGAGTCATGAGGGAAGTTTCACCTGGGCCAAGGTGAGGCCCGATGACGCTCCTTGCCTTCCCGCAGACGCCACCTCCTCAGAGCATAGAAACTGGGTACCTCCCAGAGCTGGGGTTTCTCTCCAGCACAGTACCAGATAAACCGCCTTTAGGACCTCTGAGCTTTCCTTTTTCGTTGTTCAAGGCTAGTGATCCACCCTCATTCTGTCTACACAGGCCTTCCCCAGAGAGAAAAAATTACAATGCATTGGTCTCCACTTAGTAAATTGCCATCACTTCCAGTCCTTCCTCCCAAGATTATCTTGGTGAAAGTGCTGGGTGTTCCTTTAGGTAGCCAATCTCATCAACTGTGTGAGAATGTTACCACAATAACCATAAAGAACTATCTGATTCCCTTCTTTCCAAGTCTTTGAAGAAATCTCACTGCTCCCCCATGTAATACTAAGTCGTTTTTACTGTTGTTTCTGTGGATTGGATGGATACATGGATAGATGGATGAATACATGGATGGATGGATGGATGGATGGATGGATGGATGGATGGATGGATGGATGGATGGATAGATGCAATGTCAAAAGAATGTTGTAATACTGTACTGGACATCAGCAATGATCGAGTCCTTGGTGTCTTATTTGGCACCCAGACTGATAAGTGGAACAAAAGTAACTTGATCTTCTGACATATGTTTATTGCCTGACTTTTGATTTAAGGAATGCAAAAGCACAGAACCACATTGAGCTTCCAGAGGAGAGAGGCTCTCTAGTCAAAAACAGCCTCTCATTCTTTCAGTCCTCTTATTAACAAGTTCACCTTTAATCAAGAATTCACTGAGGTTTTAGTACATTTTGGTCTCCTATGAGGAGTGAGTTGACTATACTCTGAGCCGGAGACCCAGCTCTATCCAGATTGACCTTGAACATTCGCTTGGTTCTATTAAGTGTTTTCAAGCCCCCCTCTCTGTAAGAAGAGGATACTAACATTAGCCTCAAGCCTCCCTCAGGAATGCTGTAAGGAAAGAGAAACAGCATATGGGATATATTGCAAGCTCCTACATAGGAAGGTCCATGAATGGATTTACATGATGAGCGGGGAGAAACAGGCAATATTCTCAGTATCATGCTGCTTTTCTTCCTTTTAAACGCATTTCTCTAGTTAAAGTTAACGGCAAACTGATAAATATGGTAAGCAGATTCAGGTCATGCTGCTATTTGAAATCAGTAGCTAGCCTGCTGATGGCTCTCATTTTGAGGATTCATTTAGCACAACACTGTCTTCTAAGAAGAACGGGAAATGCAACCATAAGGTTCTTCTTGCTTAAAAAAATCCAAATAATCCATACCTAGCATCACCCTAAAAGACAGCCCCACCTTCACAACCAGCCCTCTGAGCAATGCAATTCTGTATGTGCAATGTTACAGCCACTTGAAGCGAGCAGGAGAAGACTTTCCTGAAATAGCCTAGGAGCAGTAGAAGGAAACAGCAGCTCCGGGCTGGCCACGGGAACGTGGTCGCATTATTCTCTGAGCCTGCACAAAGCAACATTCTGCAACCAGGGGAGTCCTTGTGACAGTGACAGAGCTTTCTCCTGGGCTGTAATCAATTACGATGCTTAAGTGCATTATGTTTTAAAGAAAAATAAATAAATAAACATCTCTCTTTCTCTCTCTCTCCCCCTCTCTAACATGGTGCAATGGAGACTCAACCAAGTCAAACCACTTCAATGCCATCTTTCCACCAGCTGCTCATTCTAATAGAACACTTTCAAAACTGTTGAAGTAGAAATAAAGCAAATGAGTAACCTGAAATACACAAGGTTGCTCTTTTATCACATCATGCTGCTTTTATCTCCCTTTTCTCCACATCAAAAAAGAAAATATTAATATTTTTAATGTAAAAAAGAACCTTATGTTCAAAGTATCTATTGGAAGCTGTGAACGAACACACAGCACCTATGCACTGGAGAGACAGCCCCGGTACACCGCCTCACCCACCATGTGGAAATTCTCATCCAATTTCTATATATAGCCGCCACATTTCGCATGCACACACCACCCCCCAAACCCGTCCACATGCACACTCTAATCTCATCTGGCTTGCAGAAACTGGAATGCTGTAACAATGCCCTGAATCTGAGAAATTCACAAGGAAAGCCAAGAGATGGTTTCCTGACTGAATGAAAAAGGGCTGGTTCAGTCGGCGGCAGCGCCTTCACGCCAGGGCAGGCTCTGCCCATCTCTCTGGAGTGTGATCTGCATGTCTAATAATGGAACAGGTTCGTGGGATCAGCCGCTTACCTTGGAATGCTGCAGCAGAAGTATCTGCTCGTCAAGCTCCTGTCGCTTGCCTTCTATTTCAGTCTGTCTCTTTCTTTTTTCCTTGAAAATAAAGAGAGAGAGGCTGTAAGAGTGGGTGGGTGTTGGCTCCAGGAATTTTAAGGCAGGAAGCAGCAGCAGTAGCACACATCTGTAGAGACACTTCCAGAGACGCTGGGCACACACGCAGTGTCACCTGTCCCTCCGTCTTGGGGTGTGTTGCGAGCAGCTTCATTCTCCTAACATGTCTGCTGTGGGCTCGGTGAGTGGGAGAAATTCTCCTCACTCAGCCAAGCTGCAACAATTTAATCCAGGAGAAAAGGCGGTTTCTACACACAGACGCACACACACATACACACACAGAGTCATGTTCTGTGCAGTGTTAATTTGGAGACAAAGAATAAAAAATGTCTCAATCGAAGACAGAGGTTGTCATAAACTGCAAATATGATAGAATAAAACAGTAGGAAATTCTAGGGTAGATTTCTTTTATCAAAGTCATATACACAAATAAGCCAACATAATTTCAAAAGTTGTAAGACAAATCGTTCAGTTAGACATTCCAAACAATGCAGATTAGATGGGTGGTCTTGCTTAAACTGGGCTTTGGGAGAGCACTGCATGTGGGTGGGGATCACTGAGGTCATGGTGGATATGAAGTCTCGAGTTGGTCTGCCTGGATCCAACCTCTTGCATCAAGAGGAGGTAATAATTGTACCATATGATTGGGGCATGGATTAAACGAGATGATACATGGAAAGGACCTAGAACAGTGCGTGGTGCATAGTAAACACTCAATAAATGTTATTTGCTATTATTCTTATTGCCACATGTTTACTTCTAGGTCATGCCTGAAAACTGGTTTTAAAGGGATGCATTTCCCTCGTATTCACAGCATAACCTTTCCACTGGCGTGCACACTTCATACTTTTCTTCTCCATACTTCTCAAATGCAGACAACAAACATCATATAAATGTGATTAATTTAAGAATAGAAAGGCCTTCTCTTATGATAGCAAACTTGTTCAATGTTTTGTTTCCAAAATGCACATAGGAGAGTGGGTGGTACTGAGCCATTTACTGCACTGGATTATTTTCCTTTACTCACATATGCAGGGAGAAACTTGTTAGACAAGACACAATGGCATTTTATAATACAACAGCCAAATCCTGGAGAAGACAATAACATAGAAGGCTGGCTGCTGTGCTCTGTGTTAAAGGAAGTTTTTATTTTACTTAGTTGCTATGTGTCTGTGGATGTGCTTGCACTATTGCTCTTCAAATCAACATAGTAATAATGTGTGTTATATCCAAGTTCTTGTGTGCAATGCATAGACTTTTAAGAAATATTAGCTTATAATCTCAAGCCACTGGGACATAATATCCAAGTCAGGGACCTAACGTCTCTGCCAAAGTGAGGTCCAAAATTTTAGGAACTTACCATTTACCAAAGAACTCCAATCAATGGTGCATCATTGATGCTGCTTAATCCCAGAGTATGTCCAAGAACATACAATATATGACAGTAGATGGGAAAAGTGAGACTCAGAGAGGAGAGCCCCCTATCCAGGATCTCAGAGGTACCATATGATGAGGCAAGGACCTCCAGAACCAGCTACTATCTCTATTCTAGGATTTCTGAAGAGTAGGTTGACTGGACTTTATCATTCATTCCCAATGACTATCAAGATACTTAGTTGTCCTGCATTTAAATCCAGAACCAAGATACAGTATGTCACGGATACGAGATGCTGATGATTCAGTACTTCCAACAATGTTAACTGAGTGCTATGTGCTTGCTATAGACTGAATGTTTGTGTCCCCCCAAAATTCCAATGTTGAAACCTAATCCCCAAGGTGAGGGTACTAGGAGGGGAGACCTTTGGGAGGTGATTAGGTCCTGAGGGTGGAGCCCTCATAAATGGGATTAGTGCCCTTATAAAAGAGACCCCCTGGGCCAACCTGGTGGTGTAGCAGTCAAGTTCATGTGCTCCGCATCGGCAGCCCGGGGTTTGCAGGTTGGGATAGTAGGTGCCGAACAGACGCACTGCTTGTCAAGCCATGCTGTGGCGGCGTCCCATATAAAGTAGAGGAAGATGGGCATGGATTAGCCCAGGGCCAATTTTCCTCAGCAAAAAAAAAAAAAAAAGAGGAAGACTGGCAACAGATGTTAGCTCAGGGCTAATCTTCCTCACACACAAAAAGGAAACCCCAGCGAGCTCTTTCACCTCTTCCACCATGGGAGGACACAGCAAGAAGGCCATCTATGAGCCAGGAAGCAGGCCCGCACCAGATACCGAATCTGCTGGCACCTTGATCTTGGACTTCCCAGCCTCCAGAGCTGTGAGAAATAAATTTCTGTTGTTTCTAAGCCACCCAGTCTACGGTATTTCGTTATAGAAGGCTGAATGGACACAGACAGTGTTCTAATTGCACATCTGGTCATTTGCAAACCTTTCCTAGGCTTTCCCACCTCTGTGCCTCTGTTCATATAGAAGCCCTCCCTCCAGAGTTGCCCATCATCACACTGGTGAACCATGCCTTGAACAGAAGACATACTACCAGATGGTACAGGCAGTGAACCCTTACATGCTCGAGCAGTAGACTCATTGGTGGTCACTGTGAACAGACATGATCATGAAAGACGTAGGTTTTAAGTTACTTCTTTAAGAATGGGTAGGAATTAGGTAGATACAGATTAATGGGCAGCACATTCCATGCAAAGGGAACTGTGTGAGCCAGGTTAGAAACATATTGCATATTCCAGGGACAATGAGAAGGGAAATCTAACTGGGGTGCAGAGCTTGCCTTAGGAATAGAGATCAATGATTCAAAAGATTGGCTAGGACTAGACCATTGAGGGCCTTGAATGCCAGGCCAAGAGGTTTGGATTTTATTATACAAACCATGTAACGTCATTGTAGGGTTCTAAGTGAAAGAGTGATATGGTGAAATGGTACTTTAGGAACATTAATCTGACACTGGTGTATAGGATGGATTAATAGGAGTCGTGATACTTCTCCTTAAAGGGCCAGATAGTAAACACTTTGGTTTTTGTGGGACATACAGTCTCTGTTGCAACTACTCAACGCTGCCATTGCAGTGCAAAAACAGCCTCAGACAATACAAAAATGACTGAGTGTGGCTGTGTTCTAGTAAACCTTTATTTACAAACACAGGTAGTCAGCCAGATTTGGCCCATGGTCATAGTTTGCTGACCTTTGGATGAAAAGACCATTAAGTGTCTTAGGAGGATGTTACATTCCTGGGGTGAGGTGGGGATGGATGAACTAACAAGCCCATGCTAGCTTAGAGCTGTCCAATCGGAATGGAAACAAAAGGACAAATATAAGAGCCAGAATTGATGAGGCAGGCTCACGACTAATAGGATCTAGGGGGTGAGGCAAGGTGGTGTCTTGGTTTTGAGCCACACAGACCAGAGAGTGCAGGTGTAGGAAAGGGGCATAGTGGGAAAGCAGTGCTTCCCCATTTGTGCTGTATTCACACTTTCCCTGAGGAAACTCCTTATTGGGTTAGAGCTTGAAACCAAACAGTTGTTAACATCTGCAACAGGGCATCAGCATCAGCATGTTCACATCTGCATTGTGTCTGATGAAGACTCTGGGCTCGGCCCCATCACAAGGACCCTTTGTGCATCTATGGCGGTTACAGGATTCTTTGATTAGTTGAGTCCCCTCCACAGTGATGGGGTTAGGTCCTGAAGTCGCTCCTAACTGGACAAGAGGCAAGATGTGCAATCAGCCTCTGTACAGAATTAGATATGAGTCAAGGTACAGCAGGCTGGAGCAGGGCACCATTGGGTTCCCGACACTTGCTTGCTTGGACTGCTGAGGTCCAAGCTGTGCTCCTCACCTGGCTTCCTAGACCTCTAAACCACTACCTCTTGGGCCCTCTTCTCACTCCAGACACTTAGCCTCCATGATTTCCTTTACTCTCACCAACTATACAACCTACAAGCTAATAAATCACAGATCTATATTTTCAGCCTAGATCTCTCCTCTGAGCTCCAGATTCCCATATCCAACTGTTCATATCCAGTCCCTCAAACTCAACCCTTGCGGTCATCATCTTGGCCATCCCACCTCCCGAACTCTCACATCTGCTCCTTCTGTACTCCTCATCTCAGCAAATGACACGGCTCAAGTCAGAAATCTCAGTTATCCTAGACACTTCACTTTCTTGAAAGACTAAGTCCTGTTGATTCTGCTTATCATTTTCCACATCTTCTGCTTCTCCATTATAACATTTATTACTACATTAATACTTCCTCCTTTATCTCCCCACTGCACATGTAGACTATTCTAGATTAGTATCATTAGCATTCTTCAGCACTTAACTGTTTATACCCCACTTCCATCTGGATTACTGCCGTGGTTTCTTCACTAGTCTTCCTCCCCTGAGTCTTGGCTCTGAGCAAGTCACCCTCTGTACTGCTGCCACAGTGATATTCTGAAATGGAAATCTGACTATCTCTATCCCTTGCCTAAAATCTCATAACATCTCCCATTGCCTACTGTGCAAATACCAAGTTCCTTAGCATGGCCAATGAGGCCCTTCTCTATCTCACAGCTTCATCTCAAGCCATGAACCCTCAACCATATGTTGCAACCTCAACAAATAAATTGCAGTTTCCTGACCTGCCAGGGTGGTTCATGTCTTCCTGGTTTTGCCCTTACTTCTTCTAACAATAATGGATTTCCCTCACTGCTTCATCTGACAAAAAATGACGCCTCTTTGACGACACAGCCTAAATATCAATGAAGCCAAACCATCTGCCCAGTCTTCCCTCTTTCAGAGAACCCACCTACCCTCACTGTAAATGGCGCTGGTGGGAATGCCAGGCATGGGTAGTCACATATAGCCCGGCTCATCCCTGCCACCAGGACTTGCGAGTGACACAGGTTAGGCCAATCATACTACCTTATCTCGCTGCAATAGCGATCGGTCCAAGGGGTGGCTAAACAACCCAAGCAAGACCAATCAGAGACATTTCTAGGGATAGACAAATGAATACCAGGAAAGAAAAGCTCTCTTTCCACTAA